ATAATCTAAAAGGGTATTGTATTATAATTAGTATATATACTAGTGTGTACACTAGCGCTAGCATTTCTATTATATTAGATATTAGCTTCTTATAGTTAATAATAATTAAAAACGAATAAACTATAAAGACTAAAGTACTATACACTTTATCAACCTCAAGTTGATACCAACACCATCTATATACCTATCTACTGTTTATTTAAATATCTATCTATATCAATCGATTCATTATCAATCAAAATCCCCCTCTTTACTTTCTCGCCCCCCTCATCCCCCACCCGGAAAAAGATCATAGAATTCCACCAAGCATTTCCATCCATAGGAACTTTTTCGAAGAAAACTTTTCCCGTTATAATTAATGTAACCCCCCTTAATTCGCTTACTCTCTTAAAAGGAAACTCTTCAAACTCTCCAAGCTCTTCAATTTCTTCAATCTCTCTAAACTCAGAAATTTCTTAAACCTATAAATATATTATTTGCTATTTATATATTCATCTATATAATAGTTATTTCTATAATATTCTCTTTAAATACATTTTCTTTTATTCTATAAACAAATAAACATCAAAAGCTTAGTTTAAATTTCGAATTCAATTTTAATTCATATACTCTGCTCTATATATACTTACTCTATATTATACTTATAAACTCTCAAAAAACAAAAACTAAATCTCAAAATTAAAGCACTAAAATCAAATCTCAAAACCCAAAACCAACCTCGCACCAAAACCAAAACCAAAACCCCAAAACCCAATAACAAAAGCATCAAAACCAATCTCCTCTCAAACCAACCTCCTCTCCTCTTCTCACCAGCTAAGCCCACCAGCTAAGCGCGCGTTAAATCCACGCCCCATCTTCGAATATATCCCTGTTTGAATTGGCATTAGAATTGACATTAGAATCAATCAATCAATCAATCAATCAATCAATCAATCAATCAATCAATCAATCAATCAATCAATCAATCTACCACCTATATACCTCTATACCTCTATACCTCTATACCTAGCCTAGCCTAGCCTAGCCCAGACCAGACCAGATCAGATTCGTAGAGAACAACTAGTTATATTACTTGTTATTTATTATTTATCACCTAAATACTCAAATATCTAAATATCTAAATATCTAAATATTCAAATATCTAAATATTCAAATATTCAAATATTCAAATACTCAAATACTCAAATATTCAAATATCTAATATCTAAATATTAATAATATTAATTATTATAATAATATAATATAATATAATATAATATAATATAATATAATATAATATATATAATATAATATAAATATAATATATATAATATAATATAATATGAATAATATAAATATAATATAATATAATATAATATAATATAATATAATATAATATAATATAATATAATATAATATAATATAATATAATATAATAATATATAATAGAAATAATATAATATAATATAATATTAATATAATATAATATAATATAATATAATCTTAATATAAATTAGAAAAGAAGATTTATTAATTTATTATTTAGATATAGAAGTAAGATGAGGAGAGATGAACGGAAAAAGGGATGAAATAAGATATATAGAACGAAGCAGAAAAAAACAAAAGAAGATAAGACAAAACAAAACAAAGTTTTATTTCAATCACCGATAATATATTTTATCACTTGAATCAATTTAATCATTTAATCATACAATCATAATCATTTCACTTTACCCTACCCTACCCAACCAGCCCCTATAAATCTCTAAACCCCTCCACCACCCCCCTCAAAACCTCCCTCGCAACAAGCGGTTGAACCCTCCCCTCCCTCTCCCCCCTCATCATCTTCCCCAACAGAAAATTAATCTTCCCCTCCTTCCCCTGCAAAATCTCCTCGACCGTTTTCCTCTCCTCTTCACAGATCCTCCTCGCCAACTCTTCATATTCACTTCTCTCCATCTTCCGCAACCACAATTGTCCATCTTCAATAATCTCCTCTACCGATTTCTCTATCCCCACCTGTCCGTTCTCAAACAACCCCTTCAAAACTTTCTTTGCCGTCTTTCCCGTAATTCGCTCCTCGTTAACATAATGTATCAGATGCGCCATTTGAGAATGTGAAATCATACACTCTCCATAACTCGTAAACCCGAGTGGATTTTCCTCCTCTCCATAATCCGAGATCAACGCACCCAATTCATGTAAAACCCAATTGCTTGCCCATTTTCCCAATTTCGTTTGCGGTTCGTGAGGATTCAATAATGTCAAAACATCTACTACATTACGAAAATATTCCACTCGTCCTCCTTCATTCAAAGACACTAAATCAATAGCATCTTTTACCGTGATACCGTATTCAGATTCGAGTATTGCCAATTCTTCATCGGGTAAGACGCCGAGTGTCGCACCAAGATGTTGTGTAAGTGCTTCATCGATAATCACAGGGGCTAGATCTGGATCTGGCATGTATCTATAATCCACCTCTCCTTCTTTCCCTCGAAGTCTTCGTGTCTCTGTACTTCCAATTGCGTATCCGCGAGTTTCTCCTTCAATAACCCCACCTTCTTCCAGAACCGAAATTTGTCTATCACGTTCGGCAATGATAGCATCTTCAATAGATTTGAAACTACTCAAATTTTTGATCTCGGTTCTTTGCCCAAGTCCTTGAACACCTGCATATTCAAACCCGGAACCTTCCTCTGTTCTTCTCTTTACAGAAACATTTACATCTGCTCTCAATCCACCAGATTGCATACCCAAAACACAAGCATCAACCGAGTTGAGCAACATTTGTACCTTTCGGACAAATGCAGCCGCGGTACTTGGATGATGTATCTGTGGCAGAGAAATAATTTCAATCAATGGTAAACCCACACGATTGAAATCCAACAAATGTATATCCCCAGGTTGTGAGATTGTTTTGGCCGTATCTTGTTCCATTTGTACTTGTTTAATTCCTATCCGGATTTCTTCTCCATCCTCCTTTGCAATTCCATCGTGCGCATACAATGTAATATATCCATCTTTCGCAAAAGGTTCGTAATATTGTGTAATTTGATACCCCGCAGGTTGATCCCAATGAAAATAATGTTTGCGATCAAATCGACTCGTTCTTTGAATATTACAATTCAATGCTAATGCTCCTCGAATAGCAGGTATCAGAGTTTCCTTTTGAAATATGGGCATAGAGCCGGGTAAGGCTACATCGAAATATGCGACATGTGTATTGGGCGTATCGTTAAAAGATGAGGCAGCGTATGAGAAAAGTTTTCGTTCCGTATTTAATTGTGCGTGTATCTCGATTCCTACGGTTAACTCCCACTCATCAAGACTTTGCAACTTTTCTGAATTTGGATTTCTTCCAATTCCTTCATCCTTTGGCTGTTTCCGCGCGGCTTTGAATGAGTTTTGAATGCTGTGATTCGTGGAGGAGGAAGACGCCGATTCTGTCTTGGTATGTAATTCTTGTATTGCCCGAGATCTTGAGGCGTAAATGGGAGGTGAATGGTTACTACCAATAGCTCGATGACGAAGACAGCCCGTCGAATTGATTTGGCCCCCAAGGAGATATCTGCGAAGAACCAGCGGAGAAAATCGAGTCATCGGACTTACGGATCCTCTCCACGAGGTGGACGAGGTGGTATCTTTCCAATTGGTCTTTGCTTGGGCAAATAATGGTTTGATAGAGAATTCTAGGAAATTCACCGTCGTTGATCAGATGGTCAGGCAGAGTTCGGGTTCGGGCTCGGGCTCATGCATGTAATGAGATTTTCTGAATAATTGGGCACCCGATTCGAGCTGGTGGAGGGGTCTCGGGGAAAAAAAGAGATGGATAGGATCACTTGGTGGCTATGACTCCTTCCTCTCTGTCTTATTTGCGAATGATGCTTGAAAAATGAATGAAAAAATGAAATTCGAATGAGACCGATATTGTTATCGATGAACGTATTGTGATATCCCGTAAGGCGTAAGATATTGATTGATATGATAACATATGTTGAAGAAGTATTGGTTATACAAATCCAAGGTGTCGAGTAAGAATGGTGCACGTCTTGATAGAATCTTCTATCTCGTGTAATCGAATCTTCATCATACTCGGCGATGATATTATCTTTCCTTATCCAAAAGATGAAGGAAATCAGAATAGAAATGTGAGAAAATGTGAGGCTGAATGAATGTTTATCACAATCATTTTTGATTTGTGAATTGAAAATTGGTACCTACATTAATGATAATTGTCATGACCAATTGATTAATTTGTTGATATCGGTAGCTACCCAATTCAATAATTTGAGTTGAATTGTATGTGTGTGTACTATGTATATGCATGCGTATGTATGTGTATGTGTGTGTGCTTATTTGTTTGTTTTTATTTGCTGTAAGGCTCAAAGGTTAATATTTGCTGCAATCTGATAGTCCCTTCCCTTCACTCTCTTCAGCATTTTCAGCCTTCAGCCTTCAGCCTTCAGCCTTCACTTCACACTTCGTCCTTCACTCCGTTCACGCTATTGTAGCTGCATTATCATCTACTCTAGTTTGGTCTAATGGGAGGTCCCGCAATGCAGCAACGCAGCAATCTATTGATCCGACCAATCCCATCATACTCGTATATAAGATCTTACATAGAATTTAGTATTTGCTTTGTTTGATATGAAAATAGCTACATAACTACCGGCCAAGGAAGAATACCTGATTCAACGCGAAGAAAAGTAAGATGTTATGTGACGCTCGCTGGCCCTCCGGGGGCCACTGCCGTGGAGGCCGACTAGTATTGGATTGTCACGGAGTAGAGATAGTGAGATGGTCACGATGCGATGGGAGGGGATGGGATGGTTTACTTTTGCTACTATTTTATACTTAAATCTACCTGGTACCTTGGCTTCTATTCCCCGGATTATAAGACAGTCAGTCAGACGGGGTACTGGTCGCTTGATTGATATCTAGTACGCAGGTAGATCAGATAGCCATGGAACGAGCTTGCCAATATATAATCTTACATATCTAGGACCCATGCCTGTGTGTATTCTGTCTATTCTGTCTATTCTGTCTATTCTGTCTATTCTGTCTATTCTGTCTATTCTGTCTATTCTGTCTATTCTGTCTATTCGGTCCATTCGGTCTATTCTGTCTATTCTAGATATGTATGTTATATATCGAAGAAAGCAAACAAAAGCCATCAAAAGATACTCGTATATCCAAAATACATTGGAGCTACAAACTATAACCATGGATATTCCGGTTTCCGCCACAAAGGCCAAATGTTGTGATCTTCATGATACATGAAATCCTTCGAATGCATGAAACCAAGTGTGACCAACCACCAACCACCCACCATCAACCATCCAGTTATCAATGCCATCGCTCCAAACACACGCCCGACATATGAAGAGAATCATCATGCTCAAATCGCAATCCAAGACCTCCAAGACCTTTACACAAACAACATCATACATCAATCATACTTCCTACATCACATCACCCAACATCTTATGCGAATTCTCAAATAATCTCTACCATCAACCCAACTTATCCACTCACGGGAACTCTCCCATGATCATCAAGTCTTAAAAACTCCCCTGCTGGATTTCGGATTATCCCTGGTCCTGGTGGTCCCTTCTGAACCCTTTTCTTCTTACCCTTCACTGTCGGCCTCGCCTCCCTTCCGTCCCTTGTAAGATTACTTGAGATCTATTATCGTTCATTCTTTTCGCATCATCTGTGTCCGGTGTTGGTGGTTCCATCTTTTAAGAATCATTTGAAACACTTCTTCCCTCTCAAAAACACGAGGAGACAAGACGGCTGAACACTCGCTCATCACACACACACACAGACAGAACAGACACACAGACACACACACACACACACATCCATGTCCCCTCGCCCCATCTCATCCCATCCCCTCATTCATCATCACTCATAGGGATAATCCCAATTTGATCAACGCGCGCGCCAGTTTTATACCATTTTTATACCATTTTGGTATTGTAGCTGAAGCTGGGAATTGATATACAGTCAATCACTTTGCCTTCCTCATCAAACAAATTGATCCTTGGGAATTTGGATACTTCTCTCTTCTCTCTTCTCTCTTCCTCTCTCTACTCTTGTCTTGAATTCCTCCCTTTGATCTCTCCTCCTCCTTCATTATCATGTTTACTATTATTAAATATTTTAATTCATCCGTATCATCAATTCATTCCCTTGGTTCAATTGTTTTCTTCATCGGGCATTGATAATTGGTTATCGCATATCGATACACGATCATCATAGCTACCCAAAAAGTCTAGGTAAGCCCTGTCAATCCAAAGAACCTTCCCCTCCTAATGAGATCTATTGATTTTTGCTTTTTTTCTTCTTCTCTTGCTTTTGGATAATAATGTTAAGCCGAGCTGATAAGAATGGACTTTGGTAGATCGCTCCGTAGATATGGCTACAAGATACAAAATACCAACAGTGGAATCAATCATCGAAGATCCCGAAGACGAATCAAGGGACGATGTAAGGGGTACGGAACGAGAATTCCAGAGTAGCATAACTCGTCGTCAACATCGATCAATTCACGATTCCACAATGTCTTCTTCACCCACAAAAGCAAATACGAGTAGGGAAAGAGATAGATCAAGAAAGATGCATAAATCTACTTCCAGTGGCAACAGACATTCTGCATCAAAACCAAAACCCAAGCATACAAATGCGAAGCGCGCAAGTGGATCATCTTCAAAAGGAAATGAAATGGAGGGGCAACGTCTTCGCCAAAGGCCTGTACAACGGAACCGAGATTCAAGTTCATCATCGTCGTCATCGTCAAGCTCTTCGGATGAAAATGAGAATATCCCCAATCACAAATCGGTCCTTGCAGCTTCCAGAGCAAAATTAACATCACCATCTATGATTTCCAATTTAACATCTTTAACTACATCAACCAATAAATCTAGTAGCTCAAGTGGAAGTAACTCAACAGTAACTCAGGCTTCTATCACGAAAGGTTTATCCCTAGGAAAAGAAGCTGAGGCTAAAGAAGAGTCTCTATCACCAGCTGTACCATCTCCACCAAATGTGTTTGCCTATTTACAGCAGGACTCCGATGAAGAAGATGAAGAAGTTGGGGAGGTCAGGGAAGATGAAGCAGAGGGGAAAAGGGTGGAGACACAAGACGATACCTCTAAATGGTTGATTGACCATGACGATAAAAGCTTCACCCCAATATCACGTCCACATACTCCCGAAGAACATCCAAGTGGACCCTCATCCGTATCAAGTAGTCTTCACAGTGATGATTTCTCAGCACCAGAAGCCGATATCGACACAGATAGGAGTACATCACCAGAAAGAAGTGTTAACGGTCGAGAAAATCTACGAGTCACCACGAATTCCAAAGATGCGTCAGTTAAATTAGCGTCTCAAATGGCAGCTGCCAATCAACGACAAAATTATTACGGAGCAGCTCCATCATTTGGAACACCAAAAACTCATCGTCGCACAGACAGTAACCCACTCTCTCCCGCTGATCTTGAAACACCCCGCAATCCACATCCACCCAAGCATACACTCCAATCTCAGATTGATCCGACTATGACAGGCTATGAACTTCTTGCTTCTCGCTTATCAGCATCTTCCCATTCTGGTTCCGGCTCGGATACAGTAGTGGAAGATCGCATCAAGCCCATGTATCGAAAATTCGAAGCGCTCAATCATCGTCTTCTCCTTCATCTTCAAGATGAAATAAGCGAACTCGAGGAACAATTGCAAAGATTGGATAAAGCCGATACGGAATCTAGAAGGTTGCGACATACTGGCAATGGAAATTTCGGGGTGGATGTAATTCCGGCATCGAGAAGAGCAAGTGAACAAATGGGTGGTGATTTACAGTGGCATAAAATGGATATTCTGGGGAGGATCGGTTACAAATTGGCTCAATACAGTCAGCACTCCTCACTATCCCTACCTTACCCCATGCCCCACATATTTCTCCATACTAACCTCATCCAGATCAAACTCTAACCTCGTTCCACTCTCTTCAATCACTTCCTCCCGCTACTCAACCGGATATTAGCCATTATCGCGAATACCTTGAAACCGTCCGTCCCATAACCGAAGTGGAAACTAGATTCTTAGATCCAAAAGTGGAGGATGATTTGGTTTCAGTTGCTTCTGGTTCTTCTGGTTTTAGAAGTCAGGGTCGTCATCGAAATGGAGATCAATTCATTCGTCATAAACGTTCATTACCATCATCCATGTCAGATAGTAGTGATGATGACCGTCCAACTAAGAGAACACCCACTAGTAGCGCAGTCGATTCACCTCTTCATCCCCCACCTCATCTAGCGCATGATCATCTTGGAGTGGGAAATACAATTTCTCACGCAGAAGATTTTCCCACTCTGGCATGTGCAATAGCTCTTAGTATTTTAATACCAATCCTGACTTTTGCAACGATCCCAACATTCCTGGGCAGAATGACGGTGGTTTGTTTGGTAGGATCAGGTATTGTAGGGGCACTGGTACAAAGTGGATTTATAGGTCTAAATGATGTTATTGAAAGTATCAAGGGTGTGAAAGGTTCGCAAAGAAGAGAGGGATTGGTTTGCGTGGGGGTTTATTTGGGGTGTATGGGGGTGCTTGCGGGGGTTGTTGGGTAACGAATCCTTTTGTGTGCGTTCTGGAAAGCATCAGGATACTGTGATGCTATATTCGATTTCTTCTAGGTTGTTTTTCGAATTCGAATATTTCGATTTGCACAACGACCTCATACTAAGAGTTCAGCAAGAGAGCAAGAGAAGATAAGGGCTCTTCATAGATTGAGCTATGATGTGTCGAAGAAGTTTTATCCGGTCATGATCTTTTTTCTGGGTTTCATATCGACCTTACTTGGTCTGGTTTTATTCATTTCGCTCGGTTCGCTCGGTTCGTTCGGTTTGCATGGATTTCCCGTATACATGATACCCTTTCTTCTACTTATTCGTCTCTCGCGCTTTTGGGAATTGATGATTTGGCGCTATGGCTCTGATTCTTTAGTCACTCGGTTTCTCAGATTCTCGAATATATTCTCCTATTCTCTTCTTCCCTTTCCTTTGACTCTGAAACGGAATTCCCGAATTCGATTGGACTTTTTGGAGAGTCGGGGGAGGGAATACCGTTACACGTTGAAAGGTTATGCTATGCTAGGGAGATGCTTGCGCTTGCGGTTGTGGTGGAGTTCTTGTATTGTATTCTTCTATTGTGTATTCATATGTATGCTTTTCTGTTGATGGATGGGTATTCTGTAGGTGGAATTTGTATGCTGGATGAGTATTAGTATTAGTATTGTGTATCAGGATCTGGATCTGGAATTCTTGGAATGGGGAATGGGGATTTGGATTTGGGATTTGGGATTGGATTTGAATTTGAGCGGGAATTTTATGTATATGTATATGTATATGTATATGTATATGTATATGTATATGTATATGCATCTATATATATATGTATAAGGACTTTTGAGATGAGATATCTATTGATGAGAAAGTCTTGATATTATTATGAAAATAATAAATTCGATTCGATTCGATTCAAACCGGCCTTGGTATTTAGACTAGGTAATTGTTGAATGAAAATCAAAATGAAAATGAAAATCAAAATCAAAATCAAAATCAAAATCAAAATCAAAATCAAAATCAAAATCAAAATCAAAATCAAATCAAAATCAAAATCAAAATCAAAATCAAAATCAAAATCAAAATCAAAATCAAAATCAAAATCAAAATCAAAATCAAAATCAAAATCAAAATCAAAATCAAAATCAAAATCAAAATCAAAATAAATAATCAAATAAATAAATATATAAATATACTAAATATCTATTTATTCTTTTAACTTTCCCCGCCTAACTTTCCCAACCCAATTCTTCTAATCCAATCCAACTCTTCTAATCCAACCCATCTCAAGCCAAACCAACCCAAACCAAACCAACCCAAGCCAAGCCTAGTATAGGTATTAGTATATTATAATAAAACTATAATATATATTAATATATTAACATTACAGCTAGTACATTTAGAAAAAGAATAATACTATTTTTATATATATATATATTTCTACATCTAAAGAATCCTAGCAATATACTAGCAATATACTAAAATACTAGAATTTATTATAAAACAATAATTCCCATCTATATTAGATTATATAATAGTTAATAGTTATTTTATATAACTTTAACTACCTACAATAAGAAATATATATTTTATAATTTAACCTAGGTATAGATAGTATAACGAACCCAATAAGTATTTAGAGATTAATTTTAGAATTAAAAGCTACAGAGCTAAAGAGAGTATATTATGAAACTATATATATAATCGGTTCGAAGTTTAGTACTATATTAGTCTGATTGGATGTGATTATATATATAATATAATACTATCCCTTCCTTTTAAAGAGTTTGCTTTGAATTTATTTTAAACAAATAATTTAAATATAAAATTAATTACTAATCTTTTTCCTTATTATTTTCTTTATTATTTTCTTTATTATTTTTTAATAAAAACTCTTGATATATTAAATACATGGTAATTAAATGAAAAGTGTTCTAGAAATTATCTATTTTTTTCAAACAATTTTTAAAATATTGATTATTAATGATTTCTTTTAGATTTTTATTTTTATTATTATTATATTTGAAATTAATAGAGGTAATTATAATAACTAGGACAAATTCTTTTCGATCTTAAGTATTTTAATATAGATTAAGCGGATAGGATTATATCTAATGAAAAGTATTTTTATATTGAATATATTTATTTTGTTTATATAAAAGAATTTTTTTAATAAAAAAAAATTCAAATATATAAAAGTGGAATAGAATTGGGATAGGATTGGTTTGAATATTAAAAGAATTAAAAGTATTAATGATATTAAGATTGCTAATATTTATTGGATTGTAGTTGTAAGAGTGAAATAGATTTTGTAGTATATGTGGGGTTTTAGGTTTATTAGAGTAGGATAATATAGGGAATTTATTTGTTATATATATAGTTAGTTGTTATATGATTTAAATAAAGTTGGGATAAGAATGGGGTAGAGAAAGCTATTAGGAAAAATGATTTTTAAGAGTTGTATTAAGTCTATTGTGGAAGGTTGAGATCTTATTCGAATTGGGTTAATTCTGTTTTTTGGTTTTGTAAAGAGTTTTTTCAAATTTTATAATATAGGTATGTAGAGAATCGGTTTTTTATTTGAGATTGAATAATTTATTTTCAGTTTTTTAAATTTTATTTGGATTGTTATAGATATATATGAATTGATTTAGGATTGTTATATAATTTAATAGAATGTTTTGATTAAAAGAAGAAAGCTGAGGTAGAATTATAGTTTGTATGTGAGATTCGAGATTGAGATAAATATAATAAAATTGAGTTATAGAGTTGCTGATTGTAGTATTATCTGTTAGGGTTGATCCACTTTACCACTAACTATAAACCCTATCAGGTGGTCGCTCCCTGACATTATCTACTTATAGTTTTGCTCGGATTGAAAGTAATTATATATCAAATTTCTAAAAACTATTACTAAACTTTTTGGGATCAGAAAGAAAGGGTTTTGATTGAAAAGGTATATACAATATAGGAATATAATTGAGAATCAAAAAGTATAGAAAGGAGATTTTATTATATTATTAAATTATTTTATTACAAAACTTCTCAATTGTATATAAGATTGTATCGATCTTTATAATTTAAGAATTTAAGGGTAAAAAAAAAGATAACATTTTTAAATAGTATTAAAAAGATTTGTATGTAAATAAAAGAGTTAAAGTGATATGTTTAGATAAGGAGTAAATAGAATATATATAAAAGCTTTATTTATAAGTATATGCTGATGTTATTTTATTTTTTATCTGGAAAAGCTTTTAATAATATAATGAATCTAATAAGTATTTAGAAATCAACTTTAGAATTAAAAGCTATAAAGTTAAAGAGAGTATACTATAAAACTATATATGCGATCGACTCGAAGCTTAGTATTATACTAGCCCGATCGGACGCGATCACGTGTATAGCGTGATAGATAGGAATGAATATTTTATAATAAATTCTAATATTTTAGTATATTGCTAATAGTATTAAATAAGTAAATGATATTGAATACTTTTAATGATATTGAATTCTGTATTATATGTAAATGTATTTCGAAAAGAATTGATATGCACTACTAAACTAACCTGTATATGGATTACGGGAAATACTATTGCCTACACTGCCCAAGCCAACTCTCCCACCTTCATATTTTCAAAGATCAGAGAGTAGAGTATAACAACACGATACGATACGACACGATACGATACGATATGATACGATACGATACGATATGATACGATACGATACGATATGATACGATACGACACGATATGATACGATACGATCGACAGGACACAACACAATATAATATAATATAATATAGCAAGCAAATCATCATCATCATCATCAACCTCAACATCCCAACAACCAGCCCATCCATCCATCCATCCATCCATCCATCCAGTCTAAATTCCACTTTCAAAAATAACCGCCCACCTCCTTCCTTATCCCTTTCCATTCCCTCATCTCTCACAAACAAACAAATGCTGCTCGTAAAAGCCCCTGGTATAAAGAACTCTAAGCCTCACACCATGCCATCCCATGCCATTCAATCCCACCCCAGCCCACCCAATCAATTCAATTCGATTCGATTCGATTCAACCACACCTCCCCAGTAATATAACCAGCAAAAACACTCAAAAAGACTCAGATACCCACGCCATAGCGCTTCAGCTCAACTCCCAACACCATAACAAACCCTTCCAAAATCTTCCACTGAAACTCCAAGGCAAAGCCAATCCAATAATGTAATCAGTCCCTCCAAATTCAGCTAGCAAAACAATCTAGAAGAATCTTGCCAATCAACCATCCTTGAAATGCTCGTTATGATTCGTCGCATTATCGAAAATTCGTTTATATTCGTCGTCATTCTTCTCCCGCTCTCTCCTCTCCTCGGTTGTCTCTCTTTCACCACCAGTAAACCCCTCCCTCACTACACCCTTCCCCTTCCAACTCATTCCATTCGTTCCATTCGTTCCACTAGTCCCACTCGTTCCCCCACTCCTCTCACTTTCCTTCCCCTCCTCAATATTAGTAATTCCACTAACACCACCCTCATTAAACCCCAAACTTCGCGCATGAACAGGTTGACTCTCCATTGTTGTTCGTCCTCCAAGAGATGCCGGAACTGCCGTTCCACTTCCCCTGACACCACCATTACTAATTCCCCCAAGTCCAATATTTCCCTTTCCAATTTTGCCCGTTTCATCAGCTCCCGTTCCCGGACTTCCAGAACTTGCAGTCCTTACACTATTTTCCGAATCTTTTTTCAACAACTTCGATGGTCTCAGAACCGCAGCATCGGCCAACTTTCCAGGATTGATATTTAAATTTGGATTGAGTGACTCTGAGTTTTGCGAAATTTCATTATGTAATGGGCTAGAATGGCTCGGCGAATTGGAATGTTTGCTTGACGCATCACCATCTTTACTGCGTTTAGAACTACGCGAGGATATGCGACCTTGCTGAACGTTCAGAAGATATGAGATTAGTGCCGTGTGCCGTATAAGTAATGCGATGGGGTG